CTTCGGGATAGATTGATTGTTTTCCGAACGATATGCGGCAGGCTTCATGCACACGTGGGATGTATACAGCGTGTCCCGGTGAAATTTATCACCTCGATTATCTGGCGGAATGGCGCGTCCCCAAGGCGACAAGATAAATGGTGCGTCGGCTTTTCTAAACTGTTTTTCGATACGCTCGTAATGACGCGTCCGACGTCGCGATGACAATTATCCAATTGCATAACTTCGCGCTGCAATGAATGCGTCGATCGACGTGCAAAACGGCGATTCGTATAATACACTTAAGCTTTAACGTTCGTGGAAAGCACACCGACTTTATTTTCACTAGCTTTTTCTAAATGTATAATTCTGGAGTATTTTTTCTCGCTATTATGCGAAGTCACGTTTGAAAATGCAAAGTAATCTCAACCCATGAGACGCTACAATGCGTGCACGTAGAAAGGTATTTCCTAGAAATTTTGTTTTTTATTTCTATCACGCCAATATCGGGTTCAGGTTTAACCGAAGGAAAACGGAGACACAGTCGACAGCGGTTTCGGACGGAAGCGGCGAAATAAGAGTCACGTCCTGCGGTTTCGTCGCCTCTTCGTATTCGAACAAACAACGGCAGTTTGCAGAAGCCGGAGCCTTCTCTAGCTTCTATCATTGCACGTTGAGAACTCTTCAGATTTTCCATCGGTCTGCACGCGCTTCCCGCTGCCTTTCAATTGGCTGTACATAAGAACTTCGATATAGAGTCAATATATCTCTCTTATTTGCATACAACAATCCTTTCAATTTACTTTGAAATATATAATTTTTGAGAACAATAATTATATTATTTAGATCACAAGAGAATAAACGTAGAATTTCTATGGATGTGAAAAATGCATAAATTGCGCTAGAATGTTGCACTTTCGATAAAGAAGCTCGCGTTGTTTTAAAACTTTCTACGTGGACAAATAGCGGCGCAACAGGATTGCAGACGCAATTAATTACCGTCACAGCGAAAAAGTCACTCGGATCTTGGGTAGGAAGGCGCCTGTTTGCTCGGCTCTCTCCCGCCAATAAATCAATCGAATTCGCGAGGAGGTATCGACGGACGTAGTGCCAGAGTGCATTTGACGGTGCACTTATCGTTCGAACGTGCGAGAGATCTCTTGCGCGCTCGTTTTTCTCGTCGCGGGCGAACGATCGGGCCGAAGGAAGGGTAAAGCAAAGAGGATTAGATTGAGGCGAAGCTAACGTACACAACGGCGTCTTTAAAGTAGGCCATATTTAATGCTGTGAAATGCAACGTGGCGCTAAACTGCAACGCGTTTAAATCTAAGTTGTTAATCGAATCGATCAGTGCAGAAATATCAAGCGTTTATATCTCTCGTCTATGTTTTGTTGAAAATAAAAATTTTTGAAGAATAAAGAGACTCTCGTACACACAGTATTCTCTGTTGTAAATTGCTTCTTTTTAAAAAATGCGGTTAGAGATAAATTATGGAGTGTTCTCTCTCGATATTATTTCTTGTATAAAATTTCATGCAATATTTTTCTGTAGGCAGAAACGACCGCACTGAGTTATGTTTTGCGTCGCTGGTATATAGGTAGCTCCACCTCTATTTAATCTAACGGAGTGAACTAGGTTGGAAATCGAAATTGGGACGGCGACATATACGACGAAAAACGAGAGATACGCGTCCGCGAAGCGCGGACTATAGCTTTCTAAAGAATTAATGCGCGTCCCCTTATTTATAGTTATCGCCATTTAAAGCATATTTCCTGGCCGCCGGTACAACCGCGTTGAAAATTTAATGCCTTCCGCTCCTTCCCGCCTGCAAACCGTGCAAGGATCCCGGCGGCACCGAGGGCGACACAATGCGCCGGGAGAACCGTTAATCGCGTCCTTTCGTGCCGCGCCAAAAGCCAATGCATCCGTGCGCGTGTTGCAACGGTTCTTTTCTCCTTCGAGAAATTTCCGTCGTCGTTTTTAACCCTCAGCTATTAAATTCGTGCAATGCGGCGGAATGACGCGGCGTGCTCGCTCGTTCAGGTAAGAAAAACATGCATTTGATACAGTCGTGTCTCTTTTCCGCAAGCTGCTGTCCCTCGACGTCAGAAGTGTCACAAATGCGCCGTCGATGCGCGCCTAATGATACATTCCTCGGTGCATTCGACCGCGTACTCCGAATGTGGCCGCGGTTCTCGCTCGCGCGTCCTGCTGAAATTGCGGTGCCGCATGAATTACCAGGTGAAATTACAGCATCGCGCAAAACGACGGATTCTACGCGTAATTACACTGTTTCGCCCTAAATGATACCGGCTAACTGACATTACGCTAAGCGCGCAGCTCTGACGTAGAAGTCACCACTCAGAAACCAGGCTATATCATCGGAGGAATTGCCGTGGCGCCCCCCACCGCTCGCCCGTGCGTCACGTCGACTTGGATGTGTTTAAGAACGTTTAAGAACGGAGACGAAGTAGAGAGTGCATATACGCGTCACGTCGCGTACGGGGGGGAACCTTGCGCCATGCGTAAAAGCACACAGACCGCCGGGACATCAGTGCCATAGTCACGCTCGCTCTTTGTTTCGAGCGAACGCGAGGTCGTTGTCCCAATTCTCGACTCGTATCGGTGTCGTCGTCGTCGTCGTCGTCGTCGTCGTCGTCGTTGTCGATGGAGATAACAGCGCTGCGATAACTCACGATTTAGCGACGCGCCTCCAGCAAGCTAATAAATTCTTATGCAGCTAGATCGGAAAGATCCACGGCGCCGATAAAAGATAGAAAAATTATACCCTTTGATGCGTCTCTTGCTCTTTTTCGTATCAAAAACGAAGCCATAATCCGATATCATATTTTATCCAAGCAAATTTGATCTATTTTTTGTCATTTCCGCCAATTTATTTTCGCACGGTCTTTACATTTTGCATTTTTACCATTCGATACAATACGTATATTTGTGTTATTAAAATAAACATTTTCCATATGAGCTGTACGGAATATATCCGGATTTTGCTATTGCCGGTAAACAAAGTATCCGTCTGCGGCAGCGTTGAAAGTTTGCCACAGTTTTCACATTTGCGCGATTCAATAATTCGCTTCGGATACATCGAGTTTCGCATAATGTAATTTCGATGCATTTTGCGCTCGGTCGAGCATCGACGACTGATATTGAAAATGTGCGCGCTCAGGTGCGCGCCCTCGTAAATAATCTCCGTGCCATCTGTCTTAATAGGTGGCCCGGCTGGCTTCGTGGTGGAGGAGCAGAACGGATGCACCGCCACGGATAGATGTGTGTTGTGCGCGCAGCTTGAATAAATAAACAATCCGGTGCTCCGGCTGCATTTAATATTCCGCGAAGCAACGTACATACGCGACGACCTCGCGACCAAATGTCATGGTTTCGGACATACGTGTCACATGGAAAATGGAAAATCGCATAAATAAATATAAATGCATCATTGATTCGCAAGCCCATAGCCGATCCCGCTCGTCCGAGTTTATGCGACCGGTGCGAATTCCCTCCGAAAGTAAGATAGATGTGAGCAGACCAAATATATTCTTGCCAAAAATTACCATAACATTAATTATAAATATATACAGGTTTGATAGAAAATGCAACGCGTTTTCAATAAATTGTGCTCAATTGAATCAGTCGGTATTTAGAAGGCACAGCAATTATTTTAGGTATAATATTTATTATAATTTATTATATAAGAATCTTATGTGTTTTAATCGATGAATGATAACTAGTTTAGTTTAATACAATTTATTTAAACTCTCGCGCTAATACTTGAAATGAACAAGAATGCGAGGTTTGTAGAGAATAAAAATAAACGATTCTCCTTATCTTCCATTTAAAGCGGAAAAAGCTGCAGTTTAGGATTTGTCACGTTATATGGCGGAAAAGCGAGATGGCCAGCCAACTTTTGAATGTTATACGAAATTTACCTTTAGTGGTATTTAGTTTGTTTGCAAATTTTAAATGCTGCTTTCAGCTCGTTGACAATTTTTTTCTTGCTTTTTCTATCGTTAGAAGTGCACGGACGACTGTCTCAGCAACGCAGGTTTTTATAATCTGGCACTCGTTTCATACAAGAAATTACGAAACGCCGACGTTCCTTTGCTGACGACATTTCGCTTTGCTAATTCAAGCTGGACGGCTGTCGGCTGATTTTTCACGTTGATGCTTTTTAGAATATGAGAAGATTCATTATGCGCCAGGTTTATGTAGGAGAGAAGCGTTAATGAGTTACTACTGAAGCTATACGAAATAATGTCATTATGTTTTAATATAATTATATTAACTGAGAATGAGAAAACGATATCGCTCTTCAAATGTCGCACGATTACAAATTGAAACAGAATTATTAATCTACGAATTAATCAATGTGAAGAGTGATGAAATGTAAAATAATATATTTCGCTAAAAGTTTTTATGCGATCCCACATATATTTATATACTTGCAGTTGGAGATAGTTGTTCATTCGATATATAACAACTGCATGTTTCGGATCGGAAATTATACGAATTTATTCAAAGTAGGTAACACAACACATTATTCGAGCGCTTGCAACTATAGTGTATGCGTGATTTGGCGTATACGACAGAGCGCGTTCGCGCATGCCAGAGAAAGTACGGGACGAAAAGAGCGAGAAATATGGGGGCATGACGCTTTCCAATAATTTCTGCGCTTTGTTGTAAATTCCCCCTCCGCTAATTCGTGGTATTTTCTCGTTGTATTTTATGAGCGGCTACCGGCTTTGCCTTGCAAATTGTTTCCAGGAATTCTCCGTACGCTGTTAAATTACTGTACTTTCACATAATATGTGTGGTGGATTTTAGCTCGGGCACGCCGCACCGCGCCGCACTTCGTTCGAACTCTTGTTTTTTTCATTGGAATTTTGCGTTGCACCCGAGAGAATTTTATTTTTGAAACTAATTTCTTCCAATTACGCTCGATATTTTTAATTTTTCATCACCTCCGCAAGCAGAGACTCATCGGAATGTTCTTTTTCTGTTTCAGGCTATCACGGCGCTACCGAGACGACTTTTGGTGAGTACAAAAAAATTATTTCACAACTCGTTCTTTATTCTTTAACAATACGATAGTATGATAGATCGCTAAGGTAAGTTATGTATAGCGTTGAATATACGACGTACATATATGATGTATCACTTAATGACATTGTCCTTCATCGATGAGAGCAAAAAGTATTTGGCTAAATGATGCGAACGATAAAACTAAAATTAGTGTGTCACGATACGACGCCACTTTCGTTCGTTTTCAAGGTGAAAGAAACGTCCGAATAGAGACGTTTCCAAACCTGGTCGTCTTGAAAAATTTACGACTTCAAGAGCTCATGTTGGCGCACGTAAAGCGAAACGCTTCAGGCAATGTAGCGCCCGCAATCGATTGCCACCGAATTTGCATATATCGTTTTTAGTTTCATATAAAACTCGCCATCCTCGTAAATATCATAAATAAGCGCGGAAAAACAAATTTTGCGGCGAGAATTTGGTATCTCGATTCGATATGCGAAGTATTCGAATATTTTCGGTGCTCCATTAATTGCATTGCGTTTACAAGTTATTTCTAAAACATTCATGGCATGATTGTGAATCATGTTTGTGGTCGCATCGTTTTTGAGTAGCGTAATATTATTTTACAACGGCGAAGAGAAAACACTCGAATTAGAATCGTAAGTTATTATCGACCGACGATCGTCGACAAAAGTCATAATGCAACCGTGGTGGGTCGAACGGGGAGGGGTTTTACGAGCGTTTGTTAGCATTTTGCTATCGATGCGAAAACGGAACTGACAAGAGGAGAGGGGCTATATGTGCGCGCGAGATGGTCTTTAACTATCTCGAGAAGAACGAGAGAACCGCCATTAGTTCAAAAGTTTTCCCAACAGCCTGTCAGTCTGTTTTCGCCGGTGCGCTTCGTCTTAATATATATCCGGAAAGCGTGCGCGACCGGATTGTCTTCCGCCGGATTTTCGTCGGCACGAAACTTTTAAAAGACTTACCGAATCATCACGAGGTGATGAAGATCGACGGCCCGACCGGTTTTTCTGATTTCTTTGATAAGCAAGAAGTTCCGAGCAAAGAGCGAATGTCATGATATATTTTTAATACAATTCGTACAATTTTCAGTCTTTAAATATAAATGTTTTTTGAGAATAATTTAATAGGTGAAAGCATTTGAACGTGATTAATTTTATAAATTAATTTATTATTACTTAAATTATATATATAAATCAATTATATTAATTAACATGATATGTAATAATTAATTATCATTAATTTATCATTACGAAGAATACATATAGAAAAGGAGTGCAGAATTTTTATCACAATATTTATATAACAATATTTTCTGCAATCGTTACTTCAGGTCTTTTAAATAGCTATTTAAAACTAAATAATCCATTATTTATTTATAGTTAAATAAATTCAGTTTCTGATTATTCATGTATACGTCTCTTTATACAGGGAATAAAAATTATTCAGGATTATAATTTTAACACTCTTCGAAGAGTGGCAAAACTCGGAGGTAATATCCTCGATATATCCTTTGGTAACAAGAGAATTAAAATTGTATTTATGACACGTGACATATATTTTAGTTCGAAGTAACGTGACTTTCGCGACGTGAACGCGCGAGTTAATCCATTCCGCTGCAAACTGCATCAACCACGCCAACGGTTGGCAGCGTGTCGGTGGCAACAGTATAAAGCCGGTGTTAATATTTGATTTGCCGGTTGCTGGGCGGACGATGCGCATGCCCGGCGCATCTTCGACACCCTCTTCGCGTTCCTCCCTCTTAAATCTCGTCGTCCTTATCCATCCATTCTCTCCCCCGTCGCTTCCGCGGGTGAAGCGGTTCGCGTATTTACGTATCTATCGTTGCTCTTAATGGACAGGATTTATATCGACCGGTAAACTTTGGTATCTCTTGTGTCTCGCGGATAAGAATTATCGTGCATTTCAGCGATTCTAGGCTCTCGCGGGCGACAAGTTCAACGACTCGCGGTAACTCGCGGGAGAGACGATATTTTATTTCGGATAATTCTGGCCGGTGTTGCTAATGTCCTGGCGGTCGATAAACTGCGCGATAATTTTGATGCGGCCGCGCGAGCGGTCGGGCGCGCACGGGGCGACACGTCGAAAATTGTCGGCCAGACTTGGCGATGAATTCGCTATTCTCGTCCGGCCTGCCTCTCGCACAGCGAAGGGGGTTAAACGCCGGCCCTCTCGTCGCAAACTTTTTCTTACATTTATAAAACGACAATATCGATTAACGTTTTGTGCGAGCGACGCGACGTGGCAAATCTACCAATCGCGCTTTTTTTAGCAGAGATTTATTAATGCTCAGCTCTTATAACAACGGATAAAGAGTCTATACACTATGCGATTATGCACAACTTTGTTTCTACCTACTTGCAATATCACTTTTCCATATAAAATGCATCGCGAAATGTACCACGATTTGTATCACGTCTGTTGCACCACGTCGATCACCGACGTGTCATTGTACTACACTTTTTCGTGTATTAATATTCAACATGCCGGTCAATACTGTTGGAAATAGAAATCTGATCGTTATGATGCTAAAGCAAATATGTCGATACGCGAATTCGATTCTTTTGAAACTCGAGTCTCTATTTTTGAAATGATGAATCTCATGTTTTTATAATTTGCTTTTTATTGCACATCATCATTGATTAATGTACATACATGTTCGGCATCAGGATAGAATTTTTTTTTGTTTTTGAATTTATTCAAAACTATTTTTCATACTGCATTCTGGAGATATGCAGAGATTTAAATTTAAATTGCTTTTTGCTCAAATGCGTATCATTTTTCTCCGCAATCAGGAGTTAAATATTTTGGTCGGCCTGAAAAATTGTTTTAATGATATTATTCTTTGACATTACGTTATCTCCGAGAAACTGCGCTCGACAGCAGATGGTCGTGGTGCGATTTCGTAACATAGAGAGAGGAATTACCGAGTCCGAAAATAGACGACTTTGCGCGCGCGTCCTCACTTTGTACGAGGAAACGAGAGGCCTGTCAGCTGATTGGAGGAGAGCCAATTTTTGGTGAATGAACCGACGATCTCATACCTTTCGGATACCGCCCTCGTTGGCAGTTTCGTCACGGCTCGCGCCCGGCCGCGAAAAATATGAGACGTTTTTTTATCGCGGAAACCGATCAATTCGGACACGTAGAAAGATGTAATATCTCGTAATAGGACGAAGAACGCGAGCTTGAACTTGTCAATTATTTGCGCAACTTCGATACTAAAGTAGAAGTAGCATTGGTCTATTTTTTTTAAACTGAGTAGTTCGAAAAATTATAAAAAGTAATAGTTATTTTTTATTTCTTGGAATTATTAACAGACAACGATATATTTTTAATATTGCAGACTACGTAATAACTTAAAAAAATTTCGCCAATTTTTCTTTTTGAGAGGTACAAAACATTTATTGAAGCTACGTTACTTACAAAGCAGCCTCCTCGTACAATCACACGCCTCTGTCAGCGTAGTATTATTATTAGACTATAGTAGTCAGTTGTCACTTCTTTGCAACAATGTGTCAAAATTACCTCACACGATTTTGCATTCTCTAACGGCGAGTTGACTCGTTCCACCAAGTTAAAGGATTAACGCGTTCGGTTACCCCCGGATGTCGCGCTGATCGCCGCGAGGAACCGCTTTGATATGCTAATAAAGAACCAGTAACGCGATCTCGATGTCAGAATATTGTCATCCGATAGAGACGTTAGAGACGCCGGGACCGAAAGAACAAACGCACACGTGTGACGCGTGTGTAAAAGCTGGCAGCAGGCTTAGGCTCCGCGATCTGATTCCCCTGGGAAGATAATGAAATTTCGTATGTGCGAGAGTCGAAAATCATCTCCTTTGTGCGCCGGGAGCTGAGATCGCTTAACGGAACACCCGGGAGGATCGCTGCCGATAGAATCTCACGGGTCAACTCGACACTGGATGCTGCGTACCTTGTTGCAGCGAACACGAGCCTCGAAATCGCAGATGTTTTCTATGAGAACCGATGCATATGTAATAATTTTCACGTAACGCTTTCGTTAGGAAAAAAAATGTGTTTTATGTTTGGAAATCGAATAAAATTAAAGAAATCGAAAATTAATTAAATTGGAGGACTTTACGGATTTTATATAAAGTGACGTAGAAATTTGTGTGTGTTATGGTTAAGAAGATTAATTGAAAAGCTTCAGAGAGAGAGAGAGAGAGCGGGTAGAATTTCGGGACGCATTCTGTATATCGATCCGCGCTCTAAGTTTCGCTTTACTTCAGACGTACGCTCAACCGTATCTTCTATTTATTGAGCGGGGGGGAGTGCATCGACACGGTTTTCTCTGTTATCGCGCTTCCGGCTCCGTATGTTTTCTCGCGCTGCTTCTCCTTTATTTATTTGTGAATCCGTTAGACTTAGCTACCGAGAACTCTATTACGCACACGAGCGTCTCTCACCGCCGGCTGGCTGGCTGGTTGGCCGCAATGCTTCTTGGCACGTAGAGCGGGTCAGGGCTGGTGACGGCGATACCACCGCGATAACCTTGCTCGATAAGCGTAGCGGCTCGCATTTCCGTTAAGTTGCATCCTGCCGCGAATTGAACTATTTGCGAGTATAAGACGCGTGAAGAAAAAAATTATAGAAAAAAATTTAATTACTTAGCGCCGATGAAGCTACGATAAAATTTCTATCAGCAAATTATAATTTTTGATATATTCTTGATCGATTTTTAACTGTAGACAAGATAAAATTAATTTTAAGTTATCGGAAAAATTTATAATTTATAATTTTTTAAAAATTGAGCAAGTTATTATCTAGTGTGTTAACGTAGATTACAAAATCATTTATTTACTTATTGGAATGAATAAAAATGATTATAATGATTACATTATTTATATTTAATTATAATAGATAAAAAAATATTACTAATATAAAGAAATAGCTATACTCTTTAGAGATATTTTCGGGGAAATGTGTTCATTTTGAGTGCATT